CTTACTAGCCTGGGAACTTCTAGGTGTTCTACAGCTCCACTCCTATCTTGCTGTAAGGATGCTGGAATTTGGTACCCTTATGCTTGCACCAGAGGTACTTTATCTATTGAACTGTCATCCCAGCTTCTCATGGATAGCATTTCTAGCAGCCTTCAAGCTGTAAGTTATATGTTTTATTTGACCCATAGTCTGACAATGTGGATTGTTACATTTCTCAATAGAACATCCTTTTTGTCAATATATATTCAGACAAATTCTGTATCTTCCACATAGTGAAGATTCAGGTCATGAAAGGAGAAAACAAACCAGAATCAGGCTTTCCATATTTTCTGAAGGGAACCATGTTCTTTTCTGAATCAACACAGAATTTATTTTTCAGCATTGGCCTTGTTAGTTATGTCGTCAATGATCATTCCTTTAGCTCTTGATAGTTTCTTTCCCTCCCTCCCAATGCCTCTCCTGTGCCCTTGTAAGAAAAGCCAGCATTCCCTTATGTTTTCATCTCCTAAAGGTGTATTGTGCATGATGATGCAAGCCTCTTCTCTTTGCCTAGGATGCTGTTCTGCATAGTACCCAACAAGCTCCTTCCTGGGCTTATAGCAGTCTGAGATCTGTGTTTCTTCTCCATGATAAAGAGGTTAATAGGTTCATCTTGCCTTTCAAAGACCAAAATGGAGTCCAATGGAGCTCTACTGAGACATCAGCAAGTTCTACACCAACTTGAGTATATAAAGCTGTTCTGGCCATACCTCTGTTTCCCTGCCCATATCTTTGCTTATTTTGACTTGTTCCAAAAAAGCAAAAGTCACACAGTTGGGAGGGGATGTTTTTCAAGCTTGGGTGTTAAGTCTTTTCTATGGCTCTTTCTAGAGATAACTTTGATTCATAAATCTGTGTTTGTGGGGCTTTCCCTTCAGATTGTAACACAATCTCTGATAAGAAGACTGAGAAAAATCCAGTGGAGGATTTTTATTTCTCTAGTCATACTCTGCTGTGGAAAAGCATTCACAAAGCTAAGTTCAAGTATTTTGGGCCAGAAATAATTAACATCCTAAAGCAGCCGCATGACGTTTGTAAAGTGACAATGAGGACACTACATTATTTACACCCAACCTGCAGGGTTAGTGCCCATGAGATAGACAGGTGATTAAGTCCCTCCTGAAGTATAGAACAGGAATAACTTATTGGATGGTGTGGTTAATTCACAAAATAGATGCCTTGTCTAAAATATTAGTGGCTTAGTCATCTCTAAATATATTAAGAATTCTGGAAATATTTTAAAATCATGTTCTGATTAGTTTAAAGCAAGAAGGAAGCAAAACATGATAGGACTTGGGATGTACTGCTGTGATAAAAGTGTGTGCTTGGAATATACAAGACCTTGGGGGAAGTCTGTACATGGTGCCATATACTTATAATCTCAGTTTAAAGAACAGAAACACAGGAGGAACATGAGTTTGAGAACAGACAGTTTGATTGATCCCAAAACAAGAAAAAAATGTAAAATAAAAAAGGAGCACTGTGACCCCAGTGGTATTCACCTTTAATCCCAGCACTTGGGAGGCAGAGGCAGGTGGATCTCTATGATTTAGAAGCCAGCCTGGTCTACAGAATGAGTTCCAGGAAAGCCAAGGCTACATAGAAAATACTTGTCTTGACAAACACCCTCGACAAAAGGGGAACATTATGGCTGTGGGAGATGTTTGTCTAAAATGTACAAGGCCTCAAGTTTGATCACCAATACTAAGGGGAAAATATAGAAGAAGGAAGAAAAAGAAAATAATATATTGCTAACAACTGCATAGCTGTTCAAACAGTAAAGGCTTCTACATCCAGGGAAGGTCAATTGGCTAGAAATTGGTGCGGGGACTCCATCTTCTCCATCAGGCTCGACAGGGGACATATGCTGTGGTTTGTCTGGAAGCCTGGCAGCAGTCCTGTGGAGTTATGTGCAAATGTGCATAACAAAGGGTAGTGAGATTGAAGGCAGTCCCTTTCCACTGTCCCCTGTCCTGTGCCACCTCCTCCGGGCTTCTAGGGACGGAGTTCAACTGTCTTCCCCTAGAATGTTTCTAGTGCTGAGTCATTTAGGCTAAACGAGACAGCTCATTTGTCACTCGCGGTGTAATGACTGAACCATGGGGAGGCATTCAGTAAGCTTGGCTAGCACTTGGGACACAAAGCCAGCTGACTTTTCTGACCCTTCACCTAGACCTTAGTACATCCCAGGAAGACTCCACCTTGACTCTACTCTTTAGCCCCTGTGCTGAAGGAAATTCATGTCCCCAATGGGAGAAAAAAAGACCACCCGCCAACTTACAATTATGCTACTGGAAGGACAAAGGGGAAGCAAGCCAACTAATAATCATGGGATTCCCAAACCACAAGAATGTCATGAGAGTTTGTGTGTGGGACCAATTTTCTGGATGGGAATACTATGGGAAGAAGGGACAGGAATTCAGTTGGCTATTCTTAGCTCCAAATCTCAGTTGATTTAAGAATGTCTTCATAAACCACCCTGTCCTATGAAAAGTGTAGTAAAAACATTATGGCAATGGTGTTCTGTTGTGTAGCAATCTCCTTCAAAATGGAACATTCCATTCTGGAGGGAAACTTGCTATGACTCAAAGAATCTAAAGAAAGGTGTCTTAGGATTCTGGAAGTACAATCTCACAAGGCTCAAGTGAACCCTGAAACTTAGAGTTGCAAGGCCTCTTCCTCCCCTAGGCTAGTATAAGTAGTAAGGACTGTTGAGTGTTAAGGAAAGAGACTCTTCAACTTATGAAGTTGTCTACATGTCATTCGGCATCCCAGGTTTACACCTTTGATGAGTTGTCAGCTATATTGGAATGTTTTTTTGTTTGTTTGTTTTTGTTTATTTTTATGATGTAGCTACCTTTGAGTCATGCAAGGTCCTGCACGTAAACCCTCACCGGCAGGTAACTACATTAAACTCATTGGTTTAAGTTGGATTTCTAGTGTTAATACTTTGGTCTATTTTTAGTTCCTATTTGGAACAAGTACACATTTGTCCACACCTCCCCAATAGAAGTTTCTAGCACAACGTTGTATCTTTGCCTACTGTCTTCTCCCTCCTCTTGAGAGTATCCAACTTTGTAATAAACTCTTTGTTCTATATTAAGAAAATAAAGTGATAAAATGAAGCCCAAAGTGCTGACAATTCTTGTTTTGCAGAATGCTAAATGAAAGATATAGAAATAAGTGTAACCTTCAAAGCATAAGCTTCCCTGGTTCTTTCAAAATATGGACTTGTAAGTGCTTGACTTACAAGGAATTAATTAACTAGATAAAGCTAACTATGGGCCTTAGTCATTTATGGCTACATAAAAAAGCTAGCCCCCAAGTTGACAGGTGAAAACATTTATTCAGTCTCTGTGTGCTAAAAATCATGGAGTATTGGGGTGGAACAGGGTCTCACTAGAGGTTATAATTAAGCTGTTAGTCAACATGAAGCTTGACTGGATGTAAGGAAGCTATTTCCAATTACTCATATGCTCAGGGTGAATTCTGAGCTCCAGTTGGTGCCTCACTGTCCCTTCTAGATGCGCCAAGACAGAGTCAACATGAGAGACCCCCAATGGAAGCTGTAGTCCTTAACAACTAACCTGAGGTTTAGAATGAGATGCCAAGGCTTTTCCAGCATGGTCTTGGTCACACAGATCTTTGAGAGAAAGATTACACAAGGGGGTTAATATCAAGAATCAGCTATCATGGTAGCAGCTCTGGGAACTGATTTCTACAGTCCCTACTGTTCTATGCATCTGAATATGGGCTTAGTCCACAAATTGGGATTCTGATCTATAGGGAGCATAAATGGGGACCAGTGTAAGAATAAAAGAAAGATCGGCCATGTGATCAACATCTTGGTATCCACAGTGTGGCAATAACTTACTGGAAAGTCCAGGCATGTGCACTGTCATTGAGGAGAGGAGTTGAGATTGATTTGATTAGTTTGATTTTAGTAGATGATCAAGCATATGTCTAATGGGAAACTTACATGACTTCTATGACTTACTAAGTACTGTAGTTACTCAGTCAAAATTTGCTGACTGAATATGCCCTAAGAATAAATCTAATTTGCCTAGACTCTAGAAGGGCTAAAATTATACAAAATGATGACTTTGTATCATGATAAAATGTCAACAGTTTTATTAAAAGCAGATTCCATTTCTTCACATAGTTCAATTTCTTTTCCTCTTTTAAAAGCCTATTTCATTGTACTAGTTCACCAGAGTAAGTTAGCTCAGTGACACAGACCATCACTGATTGAGATGAACAAAGTTAGCACCACAAATCTACACTGCAGATAATCACAACAGCCTTTCCCATGTTTACAAGTTCTCTTACATACCCACACATATATTTACAGCTAATAAATAAAATGTAAAGCTAAAGCATCATTGAGATACATATGTACATTATATATATGTATACACATATATGTATAGCTTTAGAAGCATTTGTATATATATTAGAAGCCAGACAGTGATATGTACAGGTTGGCTAGGTCTTCTAAATTTGTGAGCCCTTGATCCAAACCCAAGTGTACAAAGTCAACGAATTAGCAATAAAGGGGATGCCAGTGACAAATTGCATATCATTTTATTGTTAGAATTGACTCCAAGCCTGAAAAAATCCGTCATTTTTGTCCTATATTACATAGGCACAACCATCCTTCTCCTAGCAAGGGCTAACATTCTAGCATATCTGGAACAACTTCTCTGACATTCTCCAGTATGTCCCTTGACTCTTTTCCCTTTCCAAATGACATTGAATGACAATTATACTTGTGAGACTTTGCCTGCAGGTAGGTGTTCAGACACCCACAGTTTCACAGTTTGTGTTCCCAGCAATAGCCTGTGGCATAGGACTTTTTTATCACTTTATATTAATATATAGTAAAAATATTCTGAAAATATGAGATCTAGTTCATAAATAATTGTTTACTCACTCTTGATTGGGTTTTTTTGTTGTTGTTGTTTTTGTTTTTTAAGTAAAATGAAACAGTGGCAATCTGCCTGGTACTTCCTGTGGCTATTATAATTGATGACTCCCTTCTTTGTACACAACAATTTACAAGCATTGATAAGCATATTTCCTAGTAATTTCAACTTTTATGTGGTAAAATGGCCATTATCTAAAATTTGTACATTGCGTGCTGAAGAGTTTGAACTTGATCATGTCTTAAACTAGAAATGAATGTGATATGTTAGAATATGGCAGAGGCATGGCTGAGAAGAGTCTCAAACTAAATGCAACTATTGGCTGTTGACTGTGTTCAACTTGATGAAAACAAATAGGAAAAATTCAGTGATAAAATTATGGTATCAAGCCCGGTATGGTTCATGCTAATAATCCCAGCACTCAGAAAGCTAAGACAGGAGGATCACTGATTGTTCAAGGAAAGCCTGAACAACATACCTGAGTTCTGGGACAGGCTTGGCCTCAGAGTAGAACAAATGAGAGTTTTTCTCAAAAAAAGCAAAAAATAAAAGTAAAATCAGACTAGGCATTATTTTCTTTCCATTCAATTTATGTGTTACCTGAGTTATAAGCTCATTATCAACATCTACTTAGAGAGCAATGTTAAAATATAAGACAAACTTTTAAAAGATGTAGGGGTTAAGCCATAAAAATTCAAGCCAATTAGAGTTACTGAATCTAGTTCTGTACCTCTGTTGACTTATACTTTGCCATAGTGAGACCAAGGCTCAGGACATCATGAGCTCTGGCCTCCATTGCTTTTGCTAAGTCATACATCCCTGATTATCTTTTTGTTGTTGTTGTTTTTGCTTCATCACAAGGGTGAAAAGAACTAGTTACAAAGACCAGGTATTTCCACTGCTAAAGAAATGAATCTGACTCATGCCACAAAAATGTCATCTATATTAGACTTGGAGAAAACTTTGAAAAGGTCTCAGTTTAAAGCCTCAGAATTCTAACAAAATAAGAGGCCCTCACCCTCACTAATTTTTTGACCATGACCAATTGGGTGACAGGAAGGAGTTGTATTTATTGGGAAGAAAAGATTCCTTCTTAAGGGACAAAAGTCACCATGCTTCTCCTATTTGCTGTCCTGTGATGCTGGAAAACATAATATTGGCCACGGGACTCCTCACCTTATTAGTCACGTTTTACTATTTGAGCTTGTCTTCTAACTTAACTAACAAGATAGAGCTGGGATTAATACTCAGGAAAACCCACTTTCAAACACCCAAACAAGGGTATTTTTTTCTTTTTTATAATTTACTTCGCTCACTCCAGTCTTCAAAGAACTCATGTGCTTTCTTTTCTTGTTGGTTTGTTCAGTATCTGAGGAAAAACAGAAGAAAGGCAATTTATCATCTGCTTTGCCTTTTACAAATCCTTTACCTTCCTACTACTACTACTGTCATAATGAAGAACAGTCCAAGAGACATTCAGAACCAAGCTTGTGGGATGCAGATAATGGACCTGGGAAAGCAGTTGTGAGTTGGAGCAGTAGACACACCTGATGGGTATATAGATAGGCTACTTCTATGAGCATCATCTTCAGAAGAGTGGGTCATGTGATGGCGAAAGTCACACAACTTTCCTTAAACTCTAGACATAACGAAAATCTTGCTCCATTCTTTTCTTGGAGTATGAGCCTTTTGAAGAGTTAGGCAGGGATGGTAGACTGAGTCTGTGAGCTGAAATCCCTGAAGAACATTGATGTCTGGTTCATAATGACCTCCTAAAGTTAAAGTGCATTGCTAGAAATAGCTGCCTATGTATTTGCCATTTAGAAATCCTATGACTAGACAGAAAGGTACATCATTTGACCTTCTCAGATAATTTCTCATAAATAGTCTGACCAGAATGTTTTGTAAACAGTTGAGGTTATTTCTTTGGTTTTGGATTTATATTTGTTAAAGAAGACTTTATCTTTATATTCATATATGTACTTAAAGTTACTGATGGTTTGGGGGGAGGTAGGTGTATATAAGTGTATTTATGTGTGTATCTACATTTTTATACTAAGCCCCCATTTTTAGAGTGGAGGCAGGTATGAAGTTGTCTCAGATCCATGATTTGTAAGCAGCAAAGCACTTATGGCTTAGTGGAAATTTCCCTTAGTTAAGAGTCATTTTTCCAGCTTAATACTGGTAACTATTCCCCATGGAATTCATAGTAATGTCTGGGTCCCTTATGACCTCTCTTTTTCATTCATTGCCACAATTCTATGTTTGTGATATGAAAACATGTAGATGTCATGTCTGTGTAGCGAAAAGGACATAAACCAAATTGTTAGGCACATGTCAGATATTACCAATAAGGCCTTATTGGTTTTCTTTCTGTCTGTTTTTCCTCATCTATCCATAGTGAGCCCATATAAATTATATTTAAGTAGACATTGTAAAGGAGGTGCTCCACACAGGATTTTTAGTATTCTTTTTCTGAAGAGGCAATCTTTATTCAGTACTTCTGTCTATAATAATCTAAGAATCAGGATAAAGCAAAAGCAAATGCTTTATTTCCCAGTGACTCTGTGACCAGCCTTTGTGGTTGTTTCAGTGTTGCTGCCTTTGTGGTGCTATCTAACATTCTACCTTTAATATGTGTAACCTATTAGCACTTGGTGTCTGGCAGAGGAGGGAGGGGCGGGATGAAACCGCATATCCTGAGAACTTGGGAGAGGAGATGGAAGGTCACATGCTTGGTCTCCACTTAGCACTGACGTGCTGGAAAGATTCTGCTGCCAGCTGCCCTGTGGATTAGCCCTAGAGGTCATGTCGGACAAGCCAACAGTTGGTTTGAGATTGGAGAACAGTTTCCTGTACTCTCATTCCCCTTTCTCCCCATCTTTGGGGTTTTGACACAGTTTAGGTCTCCCTTGTGGTCCAATGTCCTGGACTCTATGGCAACTGGAGACGGAATGCATTCTGTGGCTCCAGCTGATATGAGACACTTTTGTCTCTGGATATATCTTGGGAAGAGTTGAACCCACACCCACATGGTCCCTACTTCAGACAGCATCTATGCAGCTAACAGACCTGCAGTACTGGGGAATACAGAAGTGAAGATTTGTGGGTAGTTTAAGAGATATTGTAAAATTGAACTTGTATATCTGAGATAAAGATCAGCAAGGTGAGAAAGGAAAAAAACAGTATTAAGGTGTTAAAAAAAAATCAAGTGAACATAAGAAAGAAGGCTATGAGGCACCCCTAAAGAAAGGGACCGCAAGAGTTGCAGGATGAAGAGCTGGGCAGGGGCCACTTTAAGTGGATACTTAGAGAGTTGTGGTTCAAGATGCTCACCAGCCAGACTTCTTCAGAGACTTATCATGGCACTTCACAAACACCGCAGAGTCCTTTCCCTTCTGCAGATGAGACACTTTCTCCCTAGCACAGAAGATGACCCTGTGGAAGACAGTAGATAGGACAATAAGAACAACTGTTCAAAAATGGGTGCTTGGTCAAGACCATTTAAATCCTATGTGATCACATTAGTTAATGCGGTGGCATTTCCTATCACCGGTGCCATGTCTCACTCAGAAGGTCTGACCGGGAGAAGAGTTACAGAACCACCTCTTAGCAAACCCAAGTCCAAACTCTTCCAGTCCCAAGAACAATTGGTGTGCAATCAGTACTCCCTCCTCTGTGAGGCCATGAAAGAATATTCCTTAATCATCTGTAATAATTAACTAGGGCTCAGGGGACTGGAGAAGGTTTCCTGCAGTTCCACCCTCATGTTGAAGGTTCCAGAAAGGTTTCCCCTAGGTAATGACAGGAAGCTGTGCAAAGTATATGGGGAACGCTCCCGTCAATTACTTTTTCTGAGTCTCTCCTGCTTTCACCCGAATCTTCTCGATGACAAAGCCGGGGCTGCTCCACCAGTCCGACCAACTGAAGTAGGAATCACTCTTCCACTTGAGCTTCATCATCAACAGTTCTCCGATGTCCACCTCCGTGTAAATCAGGAAGGAGTAGGTTTTATTTGTGGAGACCTCAGGCCTGAGTGAAAATCCCACAAATTTGGTTACTTTTAGAAGTCAGCCTTTTCTCCTCCCTAGACATAAATAGCTTTATTGTTTGGCTGGTATTTTAAAAATGCAAACCATGGCCATGATGAATGTCAGCAGCATTTGGCGTATCTTAGGGTCCCACACCCCTTTCCTGTGCTCCAGAATTCCTCTTAACACTATCAACTATTTAGTGCAGCTCTTAGGAGAAAAATGTCCATTAGCCACTTCGATTTCCATTTATTCCATTTTAATTTATACATGTGTGAACCTATATCCACTTTTTTTTACTTGGCTTTCTCTGTTTTCATCATGCTTTTCCTATTTTTCAAGAATTCTAATTTTTAGAGGCTATATTGACTTTACTGACATTATAAGTCATAACTCACATGACTTTTGACTCAGTGCTAATTAATACTCAATTTATGGTATTATATGTTCCATGACAATAAACATGCTACTCTTAAAATTGTAAAGATTAAGTATTTAAAATTGTAAAGATATTAAGTACTTCAGGATACATTGTAAAAGAAGCCATCCTAATCCTTGAAACTATAGCTATAGAGAATTATTTCCTCACTGCCTTCCTTGCATGGAAAGTTCTAGCAACCAGCAATAGAACAGGATATGTGTGTCCTGCCCAATCATTTCAGTCACTGTACATTTTAGAAGATGTGGCATAAGCCTTTAATCCCAACACTTGGGAGGCAGAGGCAGGCAGATCTCTGAGTTCCAGGCCAGCCTGATCTACAGAGCTACACAGAGAAACCATGACTCGAAAAACAAAAGAAGAAACAAAACAAAACAAAAAACTAAGAAGTAATACTTTGCCATGGGCTTTTTACCCATATCACTTTCTATATCTGTCTGTCTGTGTTGTAGGTTAGCTTCCTGTTACAATTGTCCCTTCTTTCTTCCTTTTTTCTTCTTTCTTGGTGATGCTGGGACCACATACAAGTATTTGGTAAGTGCCCCACCTCCCAGGCACATCCTTGCTTCATAATATCAACTCTTTTGGGGGGAACTTAACTATTTTGTCACTGCTTCTTGAAAGAAAGGAAGGAAGGAAGGAAGGAAGGAAGGAAGGAAGGAAGAAAGGAGGGAAAGGTCTCAAATTGTTGAAAAACAAAACATGAAGTAGAGAGTAAAAACAAAAATAAAACAGAGATTAGAAAACAGTATTTTCTCTTATGAAATGGTGAAGATTTACATTTTTAAATTCTAATTCTAATCTCTCTCTCTCTCTCTCTCTCTCTCTCTCTCTCTCTCTCTCTCTCTGTATTTTGACACGGAGTTTCTGCATAGCCCTGGCTATCTTGAAAGTCACTATGTAGACCAGGATGACCTCAAACTCAAGAGCTCCACCTGCCTTTGCCTCCTGAGTGCTGAAATCTCAAGGCATGCTCCACCATACCCAGCTAAATTCTGATTTCTTTAACTAGAGTTTCTTTTGGGGAGAGGGTGGTGATGTACTCTGTTTCCCAGATCAAGAGCTCTGGCAATGGCTGGAGTTGTACCCTGAGCTACTCACAGAGTGAAGGGGATGTTCTCACTCTCGGCCACTGTGCCATACAGAGAAATCTCGAAGGCCTGGTTGAGCTGCTTGTCATTCTCAGTCCCAGAAAAGTGAATCTTGACTTGGTAGTGGAAGACTGTAGGGGAGGAAGAACATTGGTACAAAGGCAGGCATGGAAACATCATAGTCCCCAAACAATCAAGTGATTCAGACCCATAGAATAAATGTTTTTGGAGGACCCAAACAGGAAATGCACACATTAGACTATCCAAATGGCTTGGAATACTTCCTATTGTGTGCTTTTCAGCATGGCTGCAGTATATGGGAGAAACCCAGTTGTATCTGAATTGCCAACCTGGAAGGGACAACCAGGGAAATCAAATTAATAACCAAACACTTCCTGAAGACTCTTTGTAACCTCTACTTGCCTTGGCCACCTTATATTTCTACATCTGTACCAAGCACATTTGGTATTTGTTGCTTTATTACTGTGTATGGCCTCATTTCTTCACATTTTGTGGACACATTGTTTTCCCTGGTCCCCACCCAGGTCTCATTCTGTTCCTCCACCATCTGCACAGGGAGGTGTGAGGCACAAACAATACAGTGAATTCCTGTGAACCAACACAAAGACTTGATGTCTGACTTACAAAGCCGGGTCCCAAACTGTCCTGACTTAGGAAGTGTGTCTGGAAGCAGGAACTTGAACTTCCTCATTTCTTCCTGGTTCTTCTCTACTTATCCACCAAAACCCTGAGCCTGTAACATAGCTACTGTGACTAGAATGGGGATCATTCTGCACTTGTCTCCTGCAACCCAAGATGTTATGAATCTTTATATTATAGCGTTGTCTATTAAATGCAATTTCTATTAATCTGGGATCCAACATCCTTAACTTTAATGGCATAGAGTGTGGCAAAATTGAATTTAGATGTCACCTTGGATATTCATATTCCTGAAAAACATTTCAGTATATTTTGTTGTGATTTCTTGTGACAATTTATATTTATTTTTGCTCTTTGTTTTGTTTTAAGTGATATTGTGCGCACGTGTGTGTGTGTGTGTGTGTGTGTGTGTGTGTGTGTGTGTGTGTGTGTGTTAAGATAAGATTTCATGTAGCCCATCTGGCCTCAAATTGACTATGTAGTTGAAGATGACCTTGAATTCCTGATCCTTCTGAGTCTACTTACTAAGGACTAGGATTACAGGAATTTGCAACTATGCTAACCTTATAGTTCATTTTATAACTAAAATAAGTAGCTAGTTAAGCAAAAACAGAAAACCAAAACAACCAAACCCCAGAACTATTCAAAAGTAAAGAGAAATCATCGTGTGGCTAAGGTTGTCCATATGTCTCTAAGAAGCCCAGACAGAATTAACTCTGGGTGACCCTGTGTAAGCCTTTAGCCTTTATAGTATGGCCTCCTCCATACCTCACACCTGGTTCTAGAATTAGAGAAAATAAGAGCTCTCTCATAGCCTACAACATTTCTTTGAATAACATGTGCTCCAACATCTGGGCCACCCTGCACATCTGCCAAGCACTGCTGAAGACATTTTATCTGAGGAAACTATTCTTTAACAAGTGCCGTTCCTTCCTTCAGGCTTCTACCTGAACTCTACCAAAAGCAATTTGTTCAAAATCAGTCCCTGTCACCAGATGTGTTTTACAACACAACTTCCTTCCTCATTTACCCCTGTATGTCTTTAACTCTTGTTTTAAGCAAGAAGCCAAGTTTTAAGTTCAGGTTGGAATTGAGTTTATGGCAAGATGAACATATGACTTGGCACATTCTTGTTTTCCTAGTGTGCTGGCTAATTTTATGTCAGCTTGAAACAAGCTATAGTCACCTGAGAGAAGGGAGTCTTAATTTGGAAAATTCCTCCATAAAATTAGGTTGTAGGCAAACTGTAGGGCATTTTCTTAATTAGTAATAGATGGGGAGGGTCTAGTCCATTGTGGGTGCCGACACCCCTTGGCTAGAGGCCCTGGGTTCTATAAGAAAGCAAAATAAACAAGCTATGCTGACCAAACCATGAAGAAGCCATTCCATGGCCTCTGCATCAGCTCCTGCCTTCAGGTTCCAGCCCTGTTTGAATTCCTGTCTTGACTTATTTTGATAATAAACAGTGATGTGGAAGACTAAGCCAAATAAACCTTTCCTCCCCAAGTTGCTTTGACTGTGGTGTTTCATCACAGCAATAGTAACCCTGACATTTGGGTTACTTGAATATTAGTGGTTCTTGACTTCATGAAAAGCAAATTTTAAAAGTGGCAAATGTTCTGTGAAGTTCCAGAAAGTAAGAAATTTAGTCTTTGTGGACTCTGTGGGCTTTGTCTCAATTACTTGAGTCTGCTTTTGTGGCAGGAAGGCAGTGTTAGATACTGTAGAAAGCAATGTGTCTGACTATATTCTAATAAAACTTTATTTATAAAAGCAAGTGATAAACTGAATTGGGCCAAAGGACTAGGATTTATAATCCCAAAGTGATGGTTTCAGATTAGCTTTAAAGCCAGTACTGGTCATAGCTACAGAGAAGTCTAGCTGCAAACTGAAGCCTGAGCCCTGGGGTCTTGCCGGTATGGGAATCAAGAGCTAGATGAAATAGTGAAAATCCCACTGTATTAACAGAGGCACAAGTGATAGTTCAGGACTTAGTAACATCTTCCTTAACTCTATTGTAATAGACAGAATCAGCCCAAGATAAGAGAGATGGCACTAACCACTCTCATCTCTTTCACAGAGCGTCCAGCTTACCTTTGTAGGGCATCTGAGAGCGAGTCTTCATGTACATCTTGCTGCTCCTTTTGGCTCTGACCTTGTTGATTTCATAGCCCACATTGTTGCATCGATTCTTTCTGCAACTCAGGCAGAGCCCTTTCTCAAAGGCTTCCTTGGAGTTGCACCTGTAAGCCTTGCTGGGGTTTTCTTCATTCAACAGGGAATCAATGAAGAGATGAATGGAGCGCTCATGGGAGCACTTCACCAGCTGATCCACATCTACACAAAGAGACATGGAAAATAGCAGTTCTCCAGAAATTGTCTTGCATTGGGGTAGATTTGGTACCAGGTTCTTTTAGGATGTGTTCTTGATGGTAGCTCCTCACCTCCCTCCATAAGTGTCAAGTTGACTGTTAAAGGTTGATAAAGAACTTTCTACTCTTGCTATCTTACATTTATGAATGTTTATTATACCATAATAGATAACACTCAAGACAGACATTTATTCCCTCCTGATTAATACAACCTTTGCTTTATTGAAAATGTCTACCTCATCTAGGTGTTTCTAAAAGCACAGTTTTGGAAAGCACATCATAAAGGACATAATTGTTAAATTAATAGCAGAGAGAGGTCAGAGGCCAACCTTGGTCCTTGCCTTTTATCTTATTTTGGACAAGGTCCCTTGTTTGCCACTATGCACCCAGGCTAGCTAGCATCCGTAGATTCTTCTGTCTGCCTCCCACATCATTGTAGGATATCTGGGATTACAGAGAGGCACTATAGCATCTGGATTTTATGTGGAATCTGTGATCTAAATTCAGGTCCTCACACACACACAGCAAGTGCTTTACCCCCTGAGCTGCCTCTCCTCACCACAAGTGTGTATACTGAAGCCACACACTGTGGAGGCAGTGAACAGGACACATCACTCATCCCTAAACCTCAAAACTCACACTTCTGTTTTACTCACCTCCCAGGCCCCTCTCTGCAATCACACGAATGGCTTCCCCAATGTTGCATCCTGGCTGGAAAGTGCCTCCATTGGGATAAATGTCAACATGTCCTACTGGTTTCTGGATACCAATACTTCGGCCAGGAGACCCTCTGGTGAATGTATGTAAGACATCTACGAAATCTGCATCATCAGGAGAAAGGCGACTAGGGGCCTCTGCATACTCAAAGTTAGGCCCAGCTGGATCCAAGCCTTGGTGAGAAAGAAAAGGCCCCACCAATTTAAAAGTCTGCATTAAGTTCAGTCTTTATGTCAGCATCTTGCTCATTTGAATATAATTGGAAATCCCTTAAATTCTTACCAGCTCCTAGTCTTAGGAGTTGACTCTTTCAGTGACTAAGTTTCAAAAAAGTAGGCATAGCTCTTCTAAAATAGAATCTTGCCCATTTACTCCCTTGCTGCCTCACCCCCATTCCCTCTCCCAGGCTAGCCTCAAACTCTTTATCCTCCTGCCTAAAATTCCATAATGTTATGACTACAGATGTACATACTGTTGTCCACACATTTGAGTTACTCTTACTCTCCACCTTTCTCCAGATGCTCCTGTTACTAGGATGGCTGTAAACACACAGTGTAGTTGTCAGTGACTTTGAACTTCCCACTTCCCTATCCTGAGTGTTACAGGCATGCATCATCAGGCCTAACAGGCATCTTTTGAGCTGACCAGTCTACAGTGATTGTTCACACCTAATGGCCTGATTTCTTCTTGTAAGTTATTTCTGAGTCTAAGAAGACCTATTTCATCAGCAATTCTTTTCTCCCTCTCTCTACAGCAAGCCCTTTATAGCCACTTCCTAGATGCCTGTCTTATTCCAGATGCTCTCTAGAATCAGTCCTTATCAGTCTCCCCGGTACTGATGTGACAGGGGATGGCATAGATGCAGTCTTTTGGCTCAACTGGAGTAGAGGAAGGTGAGAACCCTTTCTTGGAGGAATGTTTGGGCCTCTGTCCTTAATGCTGTTATCTGCTTCTGTGTCACGGCCAGTGAATGGAAAGCTAAAACCAAGCAAGAGATGGTGAACATTGGACGCAAGCCTCACACCATGCTTCTGGGTATCTAATGAAAATAACTCCAATTCTCTTTCAGAGTGATGGTTGCACTGGCTCTTGTGATGAGAGAACAAAAGTGCCCCTTACCAGTGATTCTGTTAACCTTCTTGTTCGTCAGACTTCCTGCCACACCGGCAGCATGGGCTCCGAGGCTATAGCCCAAAAGGTGGACATTGTCCAGGGGATAGTTAAATTCTTCCTGGGGGAGAAGAAATGAAAAAGTCTTGGAGTAACTGTTAGCCAAACATCAAAACCAAATTAATAAAAGTGAAAATAAATATGGGTTTTAAAATGTTGGCAGTACTATAAGTTAATTTTACTGATTTTTGTGTTATAGTTAAAAGAGACAAATATTCTATGGTATTGATTTTTTTTCTTTAATGATAGGTTGAAACTAGGAATTTTTTCTGGACATCTAAAAGTGTATTATTTATATATACAAATGAATATGTATACATAGTAGATGTATATATACCATATAAGTGTACATATAAACTTTTGCACAATATCTGCTTGTCCAAATATCCTGCATCCTGTTGTTCCTTGAAGTTGGCCAAGCAGTGACTACAGCAGACAGCAGGAGGGAAGAGATCAAAGGAACATGTGACTCAGCTTTCTGCATTAACAGGTGTGGTGGTTTGAATAGGACTGACCTCCACAGGCTCATGTATTTGAATTTGTGATCCCCAGCTGGTAGAACTGTCTGGGAAGGATTAGGAGGTGTGGCCTTGTTTGAGGGGTGTGTCACTGGGGGTCGGCTGTGAGGTTTCTAAAGCCCACACCATTCCCAGTGGCCTAACTGCTTGGCGGCTGTGTCTCAAGATGTGAATACCACACTCTCTCCAAGATGGTCAAATACTCTAACCCTCTGCAACCCTGAGCCTCAAGTTAAATGCTTGGTTTTCTAAGCTGCCTCAGTCATGGTATTTTATCACATCAATAGAAAACTAAGGCAAGTGAGAAGCCTGGGGCTCAAAGCAGTAATCTTCCAAGTTCATTTGTCTAAAAAGCCAAGGAATGGATTTTGTCTTTTGATGATTAAAGTATATTTTTCTGATACAATTCCCTGTTTTAAGTAACTTGGCCCTATCAGAGTATTAGCTTCTCTTTAGCCCTCCCCCTGATTTCCCCCTCCCCCAAAAAAAAGACCATTCAGTGTTAACTTCCAGAGTGTGGCTCCCAAGAGAAGAAAGTGGGTAAAATCTACAGGCAACTCCAATTCTGAACCCTTAGCTATGTCATGCCCTATGCATCCCCCCACTGTTTCCCTGTTCCAGTTCATCTCTACTACTACTGGGTCTCAGCAATCATCTGGATCTTTTATCTTCTCTAAGTGCTAAACACTATTTGCAATTTTGTTAAAGAGGTTGGTATTCTAATAGGAGTCAAAGCCAGGATAGAATTCCGTGGCAGCCAACTGGAGGGGAAAGAGGTGGCTGAACACACCATCTTCCCTTTGTCCTAGAGGGAAAAAAAGGCTTTTGTTCCCGACTGCTCCCTGGAATATCAAAGAACAGTCAGGGTAGAATCATTTGCTGGCTGTATAATCTAGCCATTCCTGCCCTTCTGACAATTTGAAATGCTTCAGAAAACACCTCAGATCTTGGTGAAAAGGGGGAAAAATCAGCTGTCTGTCTAGCTAGTTCCTACCTCACCAGGAGTTTTCTCCTAAGCACAGAAGGCTCCCTTCCCCACTCTTACCTCCATCCAGTTGATGAACCTGGCTACATCATTTCCCACCAACTTGGTGTAGCCAGCAGACACTGGATAATGTTGCTGGGCCCGATACAGCCAGTCTACCACAATGACATTGGAGTCAGGTTCTCTCTTGTACAGGGCAGCCACAAGTTTGGGGACCCAACTCTCATACATTCCTGTCACCTAAAAAGAATAATACATGATTTCTTCTAGCTATAATTTATAAATATTACAGCATGAAATGAGAGATACAGACTTGCATGGAAGCTCATTGATTCTGCCTGAAAACTCAGACCTCAAAGGTCCTCTAATTCTTTCTTATTCCTTCCCCTTCCATGGCAATGTGAGTATACCAGGGAGTGTACTGGCCTCAGCCACAGCAGGCTGGAGATTAACTTGCATTAAAAACTGTTTTAACAATTAGTAAGACATCAACAATTCACACTATTAAAAAAAGGTCAGGGTCAATGTATTAAAAGTATATAGCCAAATTACACACTTTTAGAAAAGAAATGTTTAATTACTTTCAACTAAGCTGAGGAAATGTATCCCAAAAGAGCCAAGTAAGAAGCCAGGCCTGTCAGCCATGTCTATAATTTTAGCACCTCTGGAGAGTAAAGTGAAAGGACGTTCATGACCAGCCTCAGTTACATAATGATTTCAAGGGAGGTTAGTGAGACCATCTCAAAAACAAAGAGGGCAAGAGCCATTGCACAGTGCAAAATGCTTGCCATGAATTGCAGAGCCCAAGGCTCAACACTCAATACTACAAAATAAGAACAGAAGAAATTTTTAAGGGAGGCAAATGCACTGCTTTGCTTATAAAGAATGGTTTGCTAAGGATGTTGGGGTCAGGTCACTGCAGCCACAGTAAAGGCTATCGATTATTCGGTGAGCTTAGAATATGGTGACAAATATGTTTAAGGAAACTTAATGCAGACCTACAAAACCAGCAAAGAAATGGGAACCTTGGACACCCAAATGCCCTGGCTCCATTTGGAGTTTTGCACTCATGAGATGAGACTCCTGTTTTATTGTTTATGCATTTACTAGACTAAAATAACCACACATGAACCTTGCTTCACTCTGTGCCCTAGACAAGCTGCATAACTTTTCACCTAGTTTCTGTGCCCTGTACTGGGGCAAGGCCAGCCCAAGAGATATGTATTCTACCTCTCCTATTAATCAGTTCTGTAAACTAACTTCAGCCCTGCACCACAGGGCCCAGAATGCCTCAAAACTGCTCATACATTTCCACTTGTGACCAGTCTGGTTCCCTGTCTCCTTGCAGGCATAGGGCCATCTCCACTACTATTTCAAGCTTGGAGGGAAAATGAAGAAGAAAAGGCACAAAGGTGGTGAGGTCAGCCCACTAGGAACCTGGTTAAGCCTCTCTGGACATGACTCTGGAAGGATGCTTCTAGTCAAGGTACAGAGTGTGTCGTAACCCCCTCCCTCCCTTCCTGACTGCTACACTCACTGTCTTTTGTAGCTCCAAAGCAAGGCCATGAGAAAGCAGTGGCCTTTCTTCAGAATGCCATGCTAGCTGCATTGCACCCACCCCACAGTAAGACCCAGCAAGTGCAAAGCCCCAGAAGAAGTAAGCAGTGCTGATGTGACACAGAGGGTCCTGACTTCCCCGAGTCTGTGCCCTTGAGTGACCTGGAAGCTTATCTCTGGCAAGCTGTTTGTCCTAGGTTCTGACTGTACCAAGTCAGGCCGTCTGGCAAAGGGCAGGTGACCAATTTACCATACTGCTGGGTACCTCTGTTAACTCAGCAGCAACTAATCTAATCCTTTCTATTTTTGATTCAACACAAAATATAAATGAAAGAAATAAAAGGGGTTGAGGAGGCTGAGAACTGTCTTCTACTCAGGAAAGGTCTAGATTTTTCTACTTACAAGCCTTTGACAGACCAGTCTCTGAACCAGAGCCCACTCTGTTACCTATGGCAGGTTGTGTGTCTGAACCCAGTCTGCGTTTACTCAGATAAGCCAGAATCAGCTGGCTTTATTACATTTCCAGACAAGGCAAGCCTGTGTGACTGGGAGACACAGGCTGTTTGGCCCACAACCTTGTTTGAGTCTAGCACTCAAAACACCAGGACATGTGACTTGAAGAGCACAGGTGGATTTAGTGAGACAGCAGGGCCAGTGGCAGCAGCTGGCACTATGTCTGGATAGTGCATTAGTCATGTCATCTTAGCAAGAGACCTGTTGTAACTTCCTAAAGCACCAAATTCTTTCAAGGTGAGATGCTTAGGACTTGATACACGCAGTTGCTTCCTGTGTGCTCCCTAAGCTTAAACTTCTTGGAAAGTACTAAGAGCCATGCTGTGTACATCCAAAATGTCTCTAAGAGCCTTAAAGGTCTTTTCCCTACTTACAGTTTATGTTAGGAACTTAGACTTTCTTTATATGCTATATACCTTACTATGTATACTAGTAAATGTGTATCTTAAACACACACACACACACACACACACACACACACATCTGTATGAGTCCTATTGCTGACATATCCATGGAAATTACAGCATTTGCCTATGGTTTTAATAAAGAGATCACTTCAGTATGTGGGAAGAGATAGCTGGTTTGGATATATATCATTTTTACTTAATTTTTCTCACTGGAATTCAGTATCCAGCTATAGCATTCACAGGTTGTATGTCACATCTTTAATCACCTATCTTATATAAATTATTTTTAATAAATAATGCAACCTGCTCACTAGAAATTGAAAATTGTAAAAAGTAAACTAAAATATTTACACAAGGAAAGCAACAATTTTCATTTTGGGAGGGTTGTTTATGAATATTTTAAATAAGTAGCTTTAACCACAGCTTATACTTTTCTTCCTGTATTTTTTATGTGTGTACATGTGTCTGTGAGGATGCATGCAGGACAGCCTGAGGGGCTGTGTGTGTGTGAGTGCATGTGTGTGCAGGTGCATGTGGCACAACCTGAGGGGCTGTTCTCAGGAGCTGTCTACTTTGCCTTTTCAGACAGGAATCTCAATCTGGACTTCACCGAGTCGCTAGGCTGGCTTGCCAGTGAGCCCCATGGATCTCTCTGTCTCTGCCTCCCTGAAATTATAAGGGTATATCTCTGGGCCCTGCTTTTTATGTATTTCTTTTTTAAGTGATGGACTAGAATTCGGGTCCTGTGCTTGCAAGACAAACATTTTGTAGATTGAACTATCTCCATAAGCCTGTTCTCCCATGACAGTCCCCTGATAAGCTCTCTTATGTTTATAACGGGAACAGATTGAGGGTGGAGGGGCCTTAGACAAGTCTAGTCCAAATAGTTTGTTTTACTGGTTAATAAGCTGGGGCCTAGAGAGACAAATAATTTGATAGCATCACAGAGAGGGAGATCGGGTAAGAGGCACTTGGATAGCTCTTTTGCTCTAGCCTCCTCCTACTCTTACAGGTGCCCTTCAGGAATTGGCCTTTGGTGAATTAATTAATTAATTCTTTATTCTGGGTGAGCTCGTTCTGTGTATATCAGGATCATACTAGGCTTCCTCCAGCTCCCCGAAAAGTAACATCTTGTGTTGAGTGGAACATCCTCTTGCACCTCCACAGATGTAGGATTCAAGTGCGGCAACCAGGTATCAAGTCAAAACAAAGGTGGGTGCCAGCCAGGGGAAGAACTCATGAACCTGGGGGCTCTAGGGACTACCTTGAACCAAGACTGTATCTATTCAAGTCTACCCAGAAAGTAGACAGATCAATAGCTTGGATCTGCTTGACCTTAACACACCTCTAGAACCACTCTTACCGTCCAGCCATGGATCACAACGAAGGTCTTGCTGCTGTGGTTGAAGTGGCAGTTAGACACCGATTCTGCTACTCCAGGAATGAGGTGGCAAGTGTCCTCAACTGTGTCTTCAGGGGTCCTTAGGGCAAATTTACTTTCAATGTCTGTAAAATCTCTTCCCCCTACAGGAAAAGATGTTGAATTTGTTAATTGGGAGGGGGGGTAATTTGGTTTTACTTGGAACTTACAGGTTTTAGGTTCACAAGCAATCAGTGCCAAAAACAAACACCCTTGGCTTTTGGTTCTCAAAAACTGAATCTGGGTCTGTGCAAGCATGAAGATGAGGGTCGAGAACTCCAGAACACACATAATGCCAGATGGGAGTGGTGAGTGGTGACCTGCTGTCATTCCAGCCGCACAAGAATGAGGTGAAGGGATGATCGAGAAAGACATCCTCCATCAACCTCCAGCCTCCATATTCCCACGTACATGGGTGCATCTGCACACATGCATACACACACACACACACACACACACACACACACACACACACACACACACAATATTTTTTAGAAGAAAAAGAGAATGTGTATTTAGAAGAAAAAGAGAATGACTGATGTCCCAGTGTGACAGAGTGGACAGAGATGACTGTAATTGTGGGTTAAGCAATCCATGGCTGCCAGCCTTCCTTTCAGCCCATTTCCAGTTAGGGGTATGAGGATGTGCGCTTAATTCACACAAGTGAACTACTATGTGGAAATTCCTAATTTCAACCTGTCTCACATGACTTGGCCAAGATGGGAAAAAGCGGGTGGACTAGCACTCGGGACTTCTAGCTCTAGTTCAAAGTTCATGCTCCTGGAGGACACTGCCTCATAGATCTTGTGTGGCATTTAGACCCCAAATGCATAACAATACAATTGGACTCATTTGAAGAAAGGAACCCCCAACGATCAGAATTGTAAAAAGAAGAAAAATTGAAAGCCCAAAAAGCCTTTCCCCTCCTAATGGCAATAAGTGCTATCTCAAGCCATTTTGAGAGAATGAATGTTCAAAGATACAAGGGCATGTGTGAGCCATGGTCCATATGTTCTTTAAGTATCTTTCCTTTTCCTTTTGTCCTTAGAATCTTGTACACAAAGTCAAATCTTTAAAATTACAGTAAGTCTTAGCTGAGTGGTATTAACATACACCTTTGATACTAGCATGTGGGAGGAAAAGCAGGTGGATCTTTGAATTTAAGGCCAGCCTGATCTATATAGTAAGTTTCAAGACAGCCAGGGGTGTACAGAGAAATCCTGTCTCTAAAAAACAAAATAAACAAAGTAGAATCACAGTGAATCTGGCTATAAAAGAATGTGGCACATCTACACAATGGAATACTACTCTGCAGAAAAAAATAATGGTATCTTGAAATTCGCAGGCAAGTGGATGGCATTTGAAGAAACCATCCTGAATAAGGTAACCCAGTCACAAAAAGAGGAACACAGTATGTATTCACTCAAATATGGATTTTAGACCTAGATCAAAGGATCACCAGCCTATAATTCACACCACCAGAGGAACTAGGATACAAGGTGTATTCTAAGAGAGTCATATAAAGTCCCTCATAGAACTGGGAAGGGACAAGTCCCCCCAGAGCTCAGGGGAAGTGGTGGGGGGCAGCGAATGGAGAGAGAAGTAGGAGAAAATGAGGGGGAGGAAAAGAAAACGTGCGACCAGGAAGATTGAGCCTGGTTAGGGATAGAAGACAGGAAGGAGAGGGAGACAGAGACAGAGACAGAGAGAGAGAGAACATAAAAGAGGGAGCCAATATTGGTTTGAAGAGAAAATTGAACACAAAGAAAGGTCTAGAGAACTACAAGACTGCTCCCAACTAACAATCTCAGCTTCCGTGGAAAGGCTATCATAAATGTCCTTCCCGGAGAGTGAGATCAACAACTAACTTATCCATGGAGCCCTCAACTAATGCCTGTTGAAAACAGGATCAAACACCCACACATAAACACTGAGTTGAAGTAGAACCCAGATGCAGATGGACAAGACCATGCGGCAGAAACACATAGAGACAGCTTACCTGAACAAGGAGGAGCTAACGGGCCCCCAGACTGATAGCTGGGAAGCCAGCATGGGACTGACTCAGGCCCCCCTGATTATGGGTCTCAGCCAGAAGGACTGAGCAGTCTAAGGGACCTCAGACAGTGGAGCCAGGATGTATCCCTGGTGCACAAAAGGGCTTTGCGAACATATCCCCCTTGGAGGGATAACTGCCTTAATCTAGAGACAGGAGAGAAGCCCTAGTCCCTACTTCACAGGACCTTTCAGATCTACATGACCCCAACTGGATGGCATTCCCCTACATATGGAATTGGGGTGGGGGGATGGGAGGGGAGGGTGTTTAGAGTGCATATGAGAGGGCAGAGAGGGTAAAAGGGAGGGAAGGAGGGAGGGAGAGTTGGGGGGGAGGGAGGGAGGGAGAGGGAATTGGGATCGACATGTAAAATAATAAATTAAATTTAAAAAAATGCTTTGACTACAAAATTTAAGTTGAAGGACAAGTTACTGGGGAAAAGGATTTCTATTTTTATTTCCACAGAAAATGAAAAGATGTGGATTCCTTCCAGACTAATGTGGTTTGATCAAGCCAGACCGCCTGAAACATAGTACAAGGGGATCCTACATTCAAAACAGCTAGACAAAACAGCCCTACAGACTACAGCCAGGATATCTGAATCTTCTTCGAATCCCCCATGACAGCACCCCTTACCAGCAAGAAGTAGTTTGGAAAGAACGATGCCCAAATTCCCAAATATTGTGTATAAATGTTTGTTTTCATTTAATTGGACTTTGTTATATAAAATTAAATAAAAAAAAGAGAAAAAAACTTTGCATTCTTCACAGTATTCTTAAATTGGATAAGGAGAAACGATAAACCTAGCTTTTGATATATTGACATATACCTAAATGCTGATAAATCTTTATGATTATTATAGGAAGTAAAAATTGCTACATTGCTAATATAAGACCCTTTCCAGGAAATAGGCCACAAAGGACTTAGGGAAAATTATTTGCTTCTTGGTCAAATTATAGACACATCCTACCTACTTTCTATTAAAAATATATAAAATTTGAATGTTTCTCTTTCTATTTTTTTCAGGAAATGAACAATTGTGATTATTAAGACACTACCCATACCTCAATCTAAACCTATTTCTTTTTTATAACTAAAAATGTGAAACCTCGAGTTTCAAATTGGCATTGCAAAAGTCAAGCCAAGAAGGAAAACAAGAAGGATGCAGAGTGACAGTGCAGGCATTGAAATTGGGCTCGTCAGGTAATTATCTGAGGACTGGCAAGCATTTCCTTTTTAAGAGATTATTTTTAAATGCTGTGGTTAGCTGCTGAGTGATTCATTATCAGCAGCAATTCAACTGTACATATGCACACCCACAGCAAATCTCTACTACCTAACACAAAGGAGATATTTCTTAATGATTATATTTGCTCACAATAGTTGTTAAACACTCACAAAGCCTTTATCCAACTAAAGTCCTGATCTTCAACGCTTTTAATAACTCACTGAATCTGTTCTGCCACCAAGAATTTGGGCAAGCTCTCATCTTATTTGATGATGCAGGCTTTCTTCTTCCTCCCAAGCCAAAAAACACTTAACTTTACTAGTTTGTATAAAAGAATATTACATGCATTTAATTAATCTGATTCTGCCCAAGAAGTTACTTTATGTTTAGAAAGTGTTTTAGGCCCCCTCTCTCCACCTCTAATAGTTCACACTCCTCTCCAACAGTCTGGTTTTTGTGTATTCAGTGTGTGCACATGTGTGCAGGTTAGAGAACAATTTGAGTTGGTTCTCTCCTTCTACCATGGGGTTCAGGGGATCAAACTGGGTCTGTCAGGCTTGGTGGATGGCCTTAATCAGTGTTTTTCAAGGATCAGCAACTGAATGGCCCAGCAGACAAGCTCCCTCACCATCCACCTTTGTATTGCCACATCAGAATATTACCTAAATAGCTCCAGAAATGCCACTCTGCATGCTCACCTTTATCTGGAATTAGGCAGTTTAGTGGCCCTGTATTGCTGCTGACTTTAAAATTGTCATGGGTATTATTCTCTGAAATCATTAAGGCTGATTTCGTATATTTCCATGAAAAAAAATCTGTTTAAGGCTGAGGTCCATTTCAAAGGCTCAGGTTGGATTCCCTACAACCAGCATATCCACTGGACCTATCACTGACTGAGAAACAAGCAAACAAACAGGAATTCATACACCATCACATAGATTTGCACATGGGAACTTTTATTTTACTTTTAATAGGAAGGTGTGTGTGTGTGTGTGTGTGTGTGAGAGAGAGAGAGAGAGAGAGAGAGAGAGAGAGAGAGAAGAGAGCATTGTGAAGTTCTCACATAAAGATGGACTGCTTAATGAACTCTGCAAAAGCTTCAGTTCTATGTTAGATATAAAGTCACATATCTTTCAACTGCTTAGTCTATGTGGTAGGAATTTTTCATATTGCTAGTGTGTTCCGCCCTTTAATAGTGTCTCAGTATCCTAAAGATCAAGGTGCTTTCCCAACCTCTGTGGTCTCTGCAGCATGAGATGAGAAGGACACGTAGACAGGTAAGATGAGAAGATGGACCCCAGGGATGGTTTCTAAGTGTTCATCACCAAGGTTACTCTGAGCTGACTACTAGAATGGCAGAAGAGCTTGAGCTAATCTGAGGTGACTGTTGCTAAGAAAACTAGCAAATGTAATCAGTGACTCTGCATTCCTCCAACTGTGCTGCCTTTTGCTAGGTTTCTTGGGGAATTAAGGCCACTTTAGAAAAAGGAAGAGGAGAGAAAAAGAGGAAGGAAGGGAGTGAGAAAGAATGAAGGAGAGAGACAGTGGCATCTAGCACATTTATACTACCCTGACAATCAAGACCACTCATACATGTCTGAATTAAACACTAGGGTGATGTGTTTATGTAGACAACTCACAAGTCCATGTGTTTCCTTTACTATGTAGCCTTTATTCCTAAGTGTCTAAGAAGATAGCTTGAATGCAGTAGATAAGAAAAGACATTTATCCTAATATGGATAACCATCACAGAGATGAAATTAGGCTGAGCCAAAGAACCATAGAGAAGGGTAAGATTACATAGAGAGACTGTACTAGTGTTA